TTTTGTTTTGCTTGTCTGTTTCATTGTATAAAAAAAGTCTGAAGGTGTTTAATTACGTGCTTGGTTATCTGCACAATACTACTGGAAATGTAAACAGCACATGATATTACGCCAACCATGGACAATCAAATACAATGGATATTCCTAAATATACATATAAGGGAAATCAGATGGGTTATTATTAGTTACTATGGAGTTCTTGTGTTGATTCTACTTGCATTCTGAAGTGTTATTGTATGTAACACAACATAGGGTCTGAAAGAAAAAAAAGTCATTGGTCAAGTGCAGGATTCACATCTGAGTGGCTTGTCTTAGAGGAAGAAAATACAGTATGCATTATACGGGAAACATATGGGAAGACATGAGTGTGTCATAACTAAATTGACTTTTTTTACTTATTTTATCTTCATCTTATTGTAACCATAAACTATTTGTACTTATTTCATGCATCTAAATTATGGATCTGGTTTTAATGGGCCTATCAATGTAAAACAAGGAGTTTGCTTATTTGTAGAGTTGTCATTAACGTTTATTATAGCGTATATTTTTTTCAATCTAATAAAGAATAAAGTCAAATCACATCGAGAGCTTGTAAACCAGAATCGAATTAGGTCACAAATTGCAGAATTCTTTTGTTTGTGAAGGAAGTCATGCTACAGTTACCTAGGATTTATTTCAGATTTCAAAAAGAACCAACTATTCTGAAGACAATAGCGGTTTCAAAAGTTGTGCGTTTAATTTGTGGCGAATTATATTATTGCATTACAAGATTTGACATAAAAAAATAAAACATTAAAGCAAAGGACTTACATTCCATGTTCTTAAGAGAATATCAGATATTTTATCTGTGTTTTGAGGTAGTCGCCTGATGCTTGGAAATGTAATTGTGAGGCAATTCTAGGAGGTAAATAAAAAAAAAAAAAAAAAAAAAAAAAATATATATATATATATATATATATATATATATATATATATATATATATATATATATTATTATTTTTTTAAATACATTTAAGATGATGTGTAAATGAAAGGGAGTATCTGAAAAAGTTTAGTGATGACTCTTGAAGTAATGTTTTATCTTTTAGTAATGGTCTATGCTTTATAAAACAGGGTCCGATTTTTGTGAAACACCAGTTGTGGCAATTCGGATACCAGATTTTGTTTATAGAGTTGAAGACTCACACCTCAGCTGGAGGAGGTTTGGCAGTAAAGGGTAGGGCGTGAATATTGGGTAGGTGTGAGGCTATAAATACTCCATAAACAGAGCAGTGCATGCCGGAAACAGAATGCCCACACTAAAAGTGTAAGGCATGAAGAACCAGAGGAAGCTCAAAGCATTCAAAAATTAAACAACTTCAACCTGTTTAAATAATGTAAAAATACAACAACATTTTGACAAACAAAGTTTGTTTCCCCTGCCCAGTAAACAATTTTGTGTTTAATAGACGTCTAATAGACATCTAAACATAAACAGCTTGGCTAAAACAAGGCTAAACTTGTGCTGTAATTGAAAATCTAATGACATCTAAGGGCCTACTCACACTATTCTATCCGAAATGTGCCCAGGCCTGTTTCCTGGATCATTTGAGAAGTGTGAGTGCTCTGAATCAGGCTCAGGCACGGTTCACTTAGCCGGCCCTGGTCCAGTTAAAAGAGGTGTGCTTGAGGGCGGTTCACTTGGGCTTTGGCGCGGTAAGCTTGTGTGTGAGTGCAAAATGTGCTGAAACTGAAAGTGAGACGTGACTTTTAATGGACTGTTTGATATGGGTATGTTAATCATTCTTACTGTTCAATGAAGCAAACTGTCATAGTTTATTAAAGATGCAAACCCCTCACTGCACCTTTAGCAAACCTGGGGAGATGGAAGGGGGACAAACCTGCTTTGGCCCGGTTCAAGGAAACTGTGCATAGTGTGAGTACTCCCCAAGAATAGGCCAAAACTAGACTAGTCGTCAAATAGACAGACTTTGTATGTGCAGTCATGCATTTCTGTTTATTTGATGACTAGTCTAGTTTTGGCCTATTCTTTCTTAGATGTCTATTAGATTTTCACTGGCAAATTTAGCTTCATTTTAGCCAAGACGACTATGTTTGGACATCTATTAGACATCTTTTAAAAACAAAAAAGCTTGCTGGGCACCCACCATAATGGCATATTTAAGGATTAATATGTCAACCAAATAAATCTGAAAGCTGATTCCTAATATAGGGGGAAATATAGCCCTGTGTGTGTGTGTGTGTGTGTGTGTGTGTGTGTGTGTGTGTGTGTGTGTTAGCCTTAAGTATGCTTCACAAGGAAGTTAACTTCAAATGAAGTGTAAAATATAACCCACACCCTCCTGACACCAGATCAGTTAAGACTCGGGCTGTAGGGGGTGTTTCTCTCTACGAAGATGAAAACGTCAAGAATTATGGTGTCACAGTTCTTTTGGTTCATTATTGTGCTGATAAATGTTTATACATCTTTATATTAGTAAATATATGCACTATTATTATTATTTTCATTTTAATTGTCTGTCAAACTAGAGAAAAAAGGCAGTCGATTTTCAGAATATTTATTATCACCGATAATTGTTTAAATCAAGAGCCATTTAGTCGACCAATCATTATCCTCTGTATTTCTGTTCACTACAAAACAAATGACGTTCATACTGTACTGTAAGCATTCTCACCCAAAGGAAATTCTATATCTATATTACAATAAATGAAAGACTGCAAGACAAGTATAATATACTAATTGTGTATTTTGGTATTGTGCCTATTATTATAGAATATAAAATGGCCAATGTTAGGCCTGTCACAATAATCAATATATCAGCTTATCGCAGAACACATAGACACAAACACCATCATTTTTGGTGATGCAATAAATATTGCCTATCCAAAAAATCCATTCTAGCAACATTTTAGCTGATTTCGCAGCATCTCTCTCTCTGTTGGAAGTGTCTCTGTCAATATGGTTATGAAACACTATAGTATATACTATAAATTACTATAGTATATTTTCATGTGGGTGCATAACAACTGAAAATAGATCTGGGACCAGATATTGTAGCCTGTGTTACTTATTACCTTGCACTTATTTTTGTTAACTTTTAGTATTATTTATATTGGAGTATGAATTGACTATAATTAACTTAAAGATTCTTAAGAATTAAATATTAGTAGTTCTTTGGCAGAGTGTACTTGCATTGTGATGATATTATAATATCATTTTGGCATTATATAATGTGTGAGTGGCATAAAATGGACTTAAAATGACAATAATAGAGTTTACCGTAATATATCGTACAACAAAAATAGCTATTGTGACAGACCTAGCCAACGTGTAATTATGAATGTCCATTGTTTGCAGGAGGCTTTTAGTTGCGTTTTAGGCCATTTAGTTATTAGCCCATTTCTTTGGTTTATCATGTCTCACTTTGTTCATTTCAGTGAGCTAAATGCATCAGCTGAGTAGATATGTCCATTCTTTTCAGACATTTAGAGATCTATATGAATAATGATGTCCAGAATGGATATAGCACAAGCCAGTGCTTCCCACACATAGACTTTACCTGGGCTGGCCGCCCAAGTATATTTAATGACACATTTTTTTTTTTTTTAATACTATTATTAACATCTGTTACACCTGGCTTAGGGATGTAACATAGTGAGGGAGATGACATGGCGAAATATAATCAAAAATAATATTTATTTAACACAATAGAAAATAATATAATCAAAACATCAGTATCAGTATGTTCAATCAGTGTGAAAAGTAGGTGAATGGTTGCGGTAAGTCTTGTCAGTGATAGTGTATGGATGCGAAACAAAGCATAATGCCCAAATTGGAGTGCAGCTCTGGCCAACTGCAACAATAAACAGCGGCCCGACCAACTTTCTAACGGGGCATAAATAAAGGCACTGACCAGCATCAGGTGCGACGAAGGCAAGCCCCCAATCTAGAACAAATCAAACACACAGAAACAAAAAACAATGCAGTCTTAACAACATTCTTTACATTGTTTTGTATCCACCCAATAACCAAACATTGGTGATCGATTAAGTACTGTAAAATCTTCTCTCGTTTACCCGTTTCTTTTGTGCGCACGAGACCTTTCAAATCTCCCAAAGTCTCATGTGCTCGTCAGACCCACAGAGGCGCGCCTTTTTGAGACTTAAATTTGTTCTGCCCGGGTTATAAATCTCGAAAAATGTCCAGGATTCAACTTTTGTTTTCTATAGCTTGTATGCACTTTTGCAACACTTTTTTACTTAAGCCTACTTTCGCTCGGCTTCGCAACTGACTACGTGCACACAGTTAGAGCGAGAAAAACGTTAAATAGTTTTTTTATTTTTTTTTATTTAAATGATTTAAAAAAAACTTTACTATATATTTGTGGAGGACAAAATAAGTGTTCGAAACTGGCTGCAACATGTATGTACACCTTTAGTAATAGTTAATCGATGCATTTGCCTTATTTAAATAATCTAAAGGTTTTAAATTTTGTAATTATGATTTTTGGAGATATTGTCTGTTTTTATGATTGTGATTTAATGATGTTAATATATTACATAGGCTATTCTATATACAAATGCTTTGGCATTAAATTATGTATTGTTTGTCTCATATAGTTAACTTTACGTGATTTGGTGTGTTTCAATTCGGCTACCGCCACAAGTATATTTCAAACCTGTGGGAAGCACTGCACAACCTAACACAAAATAACAAACCATTGATTTGATAGTCTTTAAAACAACACCATTTGCTTTTGCTTTTTGAGTGGTGGTACTTCTCTGATGACACCAGTTTGATGGCTTTAGCCACAGTATTCTTAACCATTCCTCTCTTAGCATAAGCTTTTTCTGAGGGAATGATGCACAAAAAGAAAGCCCCACCCATTACTCAATATTCAATATTCAATTTTAGTTCAACTTTTTTTTATTATTTATTTCTTTTTTGTTTAATTACCCTTTTTTCTTTTAATTTTACACTTGTGTGTATTGTTCCCTAGGATGTGGTGGATCAGGATGATTCTTCAGGAGTCCCCTTCCATGTGGAAGATGAGCCATTTTCCTGGCCGGGGCCTAAGATTCTTCGTCTGCGCCGCACTTCTCAAGGCTTCGGATTTACTCTGCGTCACTTCATTGTATACCCACCAGAGTCTGCGATGCACTCCAATTTTAAGGTTGCCTGTCAATCAATTCAATATTCAGTTGTTCTGTATTTTTTGTAAGTGTTGTGTATATGACCATTTTTTGTTTTTCTATTTGTTTTAGGATGAAGACCATAGTCACAGAGGTAAGATATATTTTTAAGTGACTATCATTTATTTAACGCTGCTCTGCATTTTGTGTCTCCAATGACCAGTCCCCCTCCAATGCATGCAATGCATAAGGAAATCTGAAACTGGATGAAATGCCTTTCCAGAATTCTTTTTAGAACCAAAGGGAACATTCAATGGTCATGTCAAGGAAAATATCTAAGATTGATCACATGATTATGCCTTCCAATTCTCGCAAATAATTTTGGCACAGATGAGATGGGATGGGAATTTTGACTTAACATACAACTGAAAGTTGAATAAATCAGTTTGTCTTTATACTTAAGGATAGAAGCACTGGAATCTAACCATTTTGTTGTGGTAAGAATGGCAGTTTTTCTCTCATGCTTGGGTATAATCTGCTTTTTAAAATAATGTAATGAAAAGAGGTGCGATTATAGGAGAATTTTCTCTAGGGTTGGGTATCAATTTCCCCGATTTGATTTTGATTTACAAGCTTTTGATTTAATTTGATTTTGGATTTGATAAATACAGTTTTAATCCAAGTATTATTGATATTTCCAAAAGCCGAAAAGGCTAAACGTCAGTTTACAGATGTTAGAATAATTAAAAAAGAATTTAAGACCCACAAAAAGCCGAGCTGTAGCCTAATAATGTAAGCATTGTATATTCTATGTGTGAGTGACATCACAACTACGGCTGCACAATATATTATTTATCATGATTAATGGTTAATAATTATCATTATCATGATAATAGTATATGCAATATATGCAACACAGTCATGTGTGATGAGTTGCATTTATTTTATACACTGTTTTTTTAATTTTTTTTATTTGATCAGACTTATCAGATAGGCCTTATTATCGTTTGCCCTGCCTCTCTAATAGTTGTTCTGCTATTGGCTGAAACTGTCCAAAGGTGAACCCAGAGCTGAAAATAAACACTAATGGCAGGAGTTGAGATGGAAAGGAAAAGGACAACAGCCAATGTCAGAATATCTGCTCTGTGAGGTTTTTACTCATTCACAGTGTTTTGAGGATTAAATTTTTGCAACCTGACACTGTTTTTTAGTCTGAATTTGAAATTATTAGATCTAAAAAAATTACCTGTTTATTTTTAATATCAAACAAATAAATAATTTAAAAACACAGCTAATAAAAAAACAGTTTCAAGGGATGTTTTATATTATAATCACATTTCTCAACTACAGTATTGCATATTTTTCAAGTATCATGCAGCCTTATTCACCACTGTTACCTGGCTGCCAACTTTTTTTTTTAGGTGGCTCAGCAAAAGCATGCTATTTATTTGTTGGTATTTAACAAAGTCACAAAAAATAAAATAAAAACCGAAATATCTGATCATCATCTATATTGTGTTTATTAAATTACTTTTGTGTTACCAAGGCAATGGCTTGCAAATTACTTTTGAAAGCTCCATTATCAGCACCACCCTGGCAAATGAAACCATCTGTACTGACTGGACTGGATCAGCAATAAATGAAACTGTTAAATAAACAGAGCTGCACTTAATAAATCTGAAATACTTCCACGCCACTGCCCTATTGTTTATAGGTGCTGTTAAAGTCAAGGGTTCAACACCTGCTTTCGCCACATATATATAGCAGTGAAGACTAATTATTATAAAGTCCATTTTAATCAGAGATTTATAAGAAATAAATGAAAATATTGATTCACAACTTTTTGAGGGTCGATATGGATTAGACCATTGTTTATAAAAACGATTAATGCCTGAAGCTTCAACTTTCACCCCTACTTTTTGCCGTAAGGTTATGGGAGAACTGGGATGAAAGTAACGCAAGACGAAAGTAACAAAGCAAAGCAAATTTTCTCAAAGCCCTAACAACATTTGTTTTCCAGGCTAGAACAGCACATTTAGTATGCAACCCTTGATGGAGCTGCCAAATATCATGTGATTTCGGGATTATTTTTCATTATTACAAGTAGTGTTTCTCTTTTCATTAGGGATGTAATGGTTCACTAAAATCAGTTCGGTTCGATAAGACAGTGTTGTCACGGTGCCATATGTTTTTGATACAGCAAAAAAAAAAAGCCCCTCTGATTACAATTTTTAAATATATCAAGTATGATCTCGTTTTTTTAATTTTTTTATTTTACTTTGAACAGTGATGAAGCTATACCTCTGGGTTTTTTTCTTAGCAGCAAATAAAACAAATCCTCCTTTATACCTCCAAAATTAAAAAGCTCCTTATAAAAATAAATGCAATATTGTAGTAGTTAAACAAATAAAAAGAAAAGAACAGTTTAGTTTTTATATGGAACTTAATAAATTAAGTATTTTTTTTATTTTCAGAAAGATGCGTGTCCACCTCCAGACAGCACAGATATGCTTTGATTTGACTGTCCCCTTCCATTTCAGTGGATCTGAAAGAAGGAATTATTGTCTGGCTGAAATGGGATTATGTAGGAATAATGTAGCAGGGCTAAATTACATAAAAAAATTTTTCTTAAAACCCGAGTTTTCCACTACCAATTGGTCTCTTATCCACAGCTTAAAATGTACCAAATACGTCTGAAATTTATTTTGCCCTGTTCGAATTTGAAGGAAGTGCCTGTCAGAATCCCGCGAGGTGCTTGTAGTATGTGTGTTTCTAATTTTCGTCACACTATTTGACACACTGCCATGATGTCAACGTAAATGAGATAACATGTTCAAGTATTACCGCTTATGTACCTTGATACGAATACGAATACATAAATGTATACGAATACATTTTGGTACACTGTTTTCATGTGTCACACTAATGATCAATCTACAGGTTAGTTGGTGCAATATAAAATTCTTGAGTTTGAAATGACTGAGTTTTTCAAATTTAAAGTTAATCAGGTTTTAATGACAAGAGTTCCTGTGGGGATGAAAGTAACACTGTTATTTATGTCCCACTGATAAAAGACAAACCTTGTTTTTCACTTCCATATTAGAGTTTGCAGTGTTTGGATTTAGATCTTTAAAAAAATAATGCCTATTGCCAATAATAATAAACAAAGATTCATAAATTGTAGAAAATGTTAACATTTTGCATTGTTGGATTTCTTTTGAAAGATTTGATGGAACTGAAATTAAAGTTAAATATTTTTTTGTTTAAAAAAAGGACAAAATATATTTGCAGTTAGCATTAACAAGGTCATAGTCAGAATCATTTTAAATAAACAAGATTAAGCCTGTAAATCTAGCAAATAAAATATGTCTACTTTTGACCGAGGTGTTACTTTCGTCCCTGCATATGGGATCAAAAGTAACAATGTTTTGTTAAAAGTGAAGTTATATTGCAGTCGTTCTACATTGAGACAAAATAACACCTGGTTTTCTTAGACCACCCTTGTGAGTTAGTAATCACAGCAACAATATATTTATGCAAAAAACATTATCTCTTTTTTTTTAAAAATAGGTTTGTATTAAAAAATTGTACTTTCGTCCTTGCTCTCCTACACTGTTGAAAAAAAAACTTGCTGCCTTCAATTTTTTTGTTAAATCAAATGTTTTTAAAGTCACATAACTTGCATTAATCAAACTGACTTAAACTTTGTATAACTTAAAGTGAGTTGAAACCTGATAAACGTTGGTTTTCATGACTTTTTGTCATATCCTTTTTTTCAGTATAGGGTTAGGGGTAGACGAGCTAGAATAAAGATTGGGCCCATACGTGTACAACATTTCACACTTTATTTTTGGGTTAATTAACACATTCTCTGGGAATTTTAAGTGGCGTCGTCTGTGTAAACAAGCAATATTTTTTAAGTTTATGAGTATGCTGTGCACCTTTTTTTTTTTTTTTTGCAAAACTTTAATTTAATATAGAATTTCAACTCTTCATAAAATGCCTCTTGCCGCCTGTTTATTCATACAATCTCTTTCTATTCTAGTGCCCCAAAGGTGCAGTTGTTCACTTGAGCACTGGCTTTTATTCACCCCTATTACTAGATAGCTCTTGTGACAAGATTTAGCACAGCCATGTATAGCTGACAGAAATAACTCAGCCAGATTCCTTCAACTGCTCAACCTCTACCACTGTATGAACTTTTGACTTTAGTTGTTTGTTTAAAGATTGCATTATCATTGATTAATGAAAATTGACTAAACCCTAAAGTTTTCCATCTAAGGCCTACCCAGACAAGTATAATCCAATTCCAGACCCACTAAAAGATTTTAAAATTGAAACATGGGGAAAACTTATTCTTGAATGCAGAATAAGCTTGACAAATTTTTTTTTTGCAAAATGCCAAAGATTTTTGTGTAATACAGGAAGCTTCAGAGATGCATTTCAAAAGTTTGACTTAAAAATGCTTATTGCAGCTAAATGTCTTTAAACTTGTTCAAAGACGTTGCAGCTCTCAAAGTATTTTTATCTTGATTTGGGCTTTCTTGCCACAGCAATATATAAACTTTTTCATTGCAGATAACAAACTTTATATTAATATTAATATCATTTTGTTTTGAATTAAAGTAATCATGTAATGTTCAAGGCATGTCAACGTATTACACTCAAAGCACAAACCACATTCTTGATAAAAAAAAAATGTAAGAAAATAAGGAAGTACCCACATCTGTTTGGATATTTATTTATTTATTTTTATTTTTTTATTGAGACCAGAAGATTTAGTTAGGTGCAGGACATAACGGCTCTGGAATGATAATGTACATACAGCTTTCCCAAAAGATTTCAGCTGTTATATCACTGCACAAATAAATTCTGTGACACCATTTTTATGAATAAAAATTATACGATTTGCTTATACCATGCTTAAAAATGACATTTGCTCATTATGGAGTAGATGCTGATTGTCTATGATATTTGGTAGGAATGCTTCGATCTGGATTTTTACAGGTGATACTGAGTACCGATTCCTTGTCATGGTGATTCGCTGATACTGATTACAGATTCTGATGCTTCAAGCTTTATAATGCATAAAGCTCATTTCCCCCCCAATTATGACACTTACTGGCAGTGGAGATCTCACCTTACCAAAGAAAA